TTCATAGCAGGTGCTACTTCAGCTCTTCCATAAAAACAGAGGACTGAATTTTGTGTCGTCTGCACAATCCTCTATTATGAATTTTCTCTTTGGGTGTCATATATCCTAGGTATGTTTGTCTTGTCGTGATCTTGTGTTGAGTCTCGGTCAATGAGTTGGCTTCTACACTGATTTTTGCCTTCATTAGCAACTGTAGGAGACTGTCCAAACTAGCTAAGCAGCTCCAGTGCAATTCACTCTTTGACAGTGAATTGAAGCAAGCTTGAGATGAGTCTCATAAAATCTGGAATATCTTGTTTGTTATCACAGGAAAAAAAACGTGTTCTGCTTTACATTCTTCTAGTTAAGCTTTTAAAGAGCTTAATGATCTTCTGATTTTTTTAGATTATAAGGTGCATTGATGGCAAGTAGAAAAAATGAGTTAGAGCTGGGAGGGTGTTGTGTGTGTGTACACGCACGGTGTTTCTTTCACTTGTGAGTTAGAAATTATTATTGTGATGGAAATAACTGGAGAAGTCTGATTTGCTTCATCATAATCTATATATTTTTATTAGAATATCAAGTATGTTTTGCAATATTTGCATTCCTGGAAGCTCCATGTCACCTGGTGATCTAGGACTGTGAAAATACAAAAGATTTAGTGCAGTTGGAGAGCTGAGACTAGTGATTAATCCTGTAGTTAGAGAAGGAACAAAGTAAAATTGTTATTTCTGTAATTATTCTTTATGAAAGTAAGAAAATAGTTATCAAGTGATATATTAGTTTATTCTACAGGGGTTTTCCCTATTACTTTTAAATTTTTCTTTGTGATAATATTGCTCTTAATTTTATCTGAAGAGTTTAAAGTGCATTGTGAAATGAGTTGTGTGCAGATGAGTCTTACTGCTGGATCTTGTTTCTCTGGCAAGTGCTTGTATTGGGTATCTAGCTAGTAAGTCAGCAGTAAAATCTATGGATATGGAAGAAGCCCAGTCCTTGCCAAGTAATCATCTATATTACTGAATTTTAACTACTGGCATAGAGATTTGCTTTAAAAAAACCCAAAGAACATAAACCACTTTCTTTAGTTGTAAAATCTTGGTGTGATGGGCAGGTTTCTTTTCTATCCTAGAGGCATATTTCACTTAATTCTTCCTTTGGATTAATTTACCTGTCTGCATATTTAAATGACAAACTGCACAATCTTTTCTGAAGACAGCAGTTGCACTGAGGCCTGATTATTTCATATGCATGACTGCTGCTGTTGGATTTGTGCCATTTATTACAGTAGGTGATTGCCTCAGCACCTTTCAGTATTTCTTTCGTACTGTATTTTTAAATGGCTTTGTCAAAGTGCCATCTGTCTCGACAGGTGAAAATGCATAGCTTCTTGAAACAGATGGCAAATAAGATTAATATTGCCCAGAACCATTGTTTGCTTGCTTGGATGTTCATAAGGTAATGTCCACTGGATTTGTTGTCTTTGCTTGGAAAGTAGAAGAAAGTAAAGAGATTTTTTTTTTAAGAGTCTCTTTTTGTAGTGTTTTGCATGTGTATGTTAAGCAAAATTACCTCTTTCAATGTTGTTATTTTTTATTGTGCCAAACAGTTGAAATGAGCATTATTCATAATTGCAGAACAACTTCTATTTGTGTAAAACAGGTTGTTAATAGTCAGAGATCTGCAAACTTCCCTTGGTTCTCTAAGCTATGTTGTACTTTGTGTTCCTGGTCTTCCTTAAATCTGGTTTATTTTCTGTCGTTACGAACTGTAAAATGGTGAAACAACTGCTTGCTTCTGTTTGGGGTATCACTGTAAGTGAACATTGCAATCTACATTTGCCAAGAACTTTGAAAGACTTTAAGAGATGCTGTATGAGTGCATGTTACTGCCCTTAGAAAAGCCTCTAGCATCTGCTTAAAGTCAGCTTTTGCAGGAGGTACTAAACTTAACAGAACTCTGAGGGATTCTGCTGTGCAGATTTTTACCATAAAATGTTCCTGCTCACGCTGCTTTTACCAAAGTTTCAGTGAATGTCATTGCCATTTTCTGCTGGGGTTTGTTCACCTGGTGGAGGCTTGCAAGTAGAGATGTTTTTGGAAGTCCTCTGAGTGCCATTGAAAGATGATGTTCCCTGGGATGGGAAGGACATACTGGAACTTGCGTTTAGTAAATCTGTATGCTTCCCACCTATTTATTTAAGGCTATAAGAGTTAGTTCAGTCTGCCCTTACCTACACATCAGTCATTCTGAAGAAAATTCATAGCATCTCATCATTTTAAATAGTTGGGATGACCTCCCCATAAATTGAGAGATGTTGATCTTGTGACTTCAGATGCTTTGTGTTGGCATTTGCATCTAATGTCTGTGTGCGTTGGTATTGAGAACTATTTGTTACTGGGTTTATAGGTTTTTATTAGCTTCTGCCTGTCATCATTTTAAAGGTAGCTATGTTTCCAGGGTTTATTTTTATATGTGTGTATACATACATATATAAAAAACAGTGCAGTATAATATAATTGAATCTGAATCTTTTAAATACTTTTTTTGTTTACATCTCTGATTAAGTAATAAAACTGCCTAACTACAGCTTTCTGTAACATAAAAAGCAGTTAGTGTCTCTGCTGCAAACAGGCAAGCCTAATTTTTGTGCTCTGAAAATCTTGGAGAACATCCTAGTTCACTTAAGGTCTCTAAATGTGTTCAACTTTGCTGTTGTCTTCAGTTCATCAACATGAAATACTATAATTTCACCAGTTGAATGGACAAAGAGCTGATAATACTGATGATTTTTCCATGGTAGGGTTGGGGGTTTTTTTCCCAATGGGACTGTTCTAGCAATGTTTTGTTCTACAGAATTTTTATAAGTGTAACTTATTTCCAGCTAGGCTCCTCATACCTTTTTTGTTGTTAAATTTAAAAAAAGATAAAATAAAATATCAAACCTTTTTAAAAATGGTGCATTCTTGTGCACCATTCTTGCTTTTCAGACTGTTTTCTGATGTTTTTGCAGTTTATTCTTATTATGTACTGCCCACGTAATACACTTGCTTGTTAGACTATCTGTGTATGAAAGGCACATTCTCAGTTGAATTTTATATCTTTGAGAATCAGCAATTACAGAAATCTTTAATGCATCACTTTTCTGCTTGCCTCGGGGACGTTATCCGACGCTGTGAGACTTGAGACTGCTTACATCATTTTGTGTACATAACTATGGTGTTTTACTTCTCTGTGCCAGTGGTAATAAATACCACCCAGTGAATGAAAATGGGTTTATTTGATTAAACTGATGTACTTGCAACTGATGCGAATCTTTGGAGTGTGGCTTTGTTTTGGGAGCAGAAAGAAGTGTTCCAGTGTTTTCGGTGTTTGCTGCCCCAGTTGAGTCCCTCTCAACTTAAAATCGGGCAAAATATTTTTAGTGCTCTGTGTGCTGTCTCCATATTTCAAGCCATGGACTAGACTGAAATAGCAACCTTCATGTTTTCACTCCTCTTCACAGACAAATAAGGACATTCTGTTAGCATCCCCCCCCCCCCCCCCCAGCCCCTACACACCCCCCCCCCACC